ACACTCAGGAAAGATCTTCCCAAGTGTAAATGCTGCTTGGAGTTAACTGATTCAACCATGCTCTGGCAGAACCTTCCAACATGAGCGGTAAGTGCTTCATGGCCACCTCGTCATTACCACCGCCGATCTGTACAGCCACTCGGTAGTCCTCAAGCCAAGTTTCAGGCTTAGACTCACCGGTGAACTTGCTTACTCCAGTTGCCAACCTGAAGTTGGGGGGAATCACCGCGGCTCTGATAGCCCTGCTGAAACATTCCAGACCAGAAACATGCACTCGACTGCTAGTGGGCGCATCTCTGTCAGGGCCGCCTCGATGAGCCCTGTTCCGATCGACCAAGCCTTGCACGATGATGGATCGCACGTCAAAGCCTGGTTCCCGGGGGTCGACCGGAGCTCTTCGCCCCACACTGAGTTGACGCCTATCATCTTGCTGCCGAGGAGCGTATGACCCACCTCTCGGGGGAGGAGTGGGCACTCGACGCCTATCATCACGGTCGTATCGGTCACCATATTGGTCCCGTCGATTCTCGCGTCCTTCACGCCGCGGAGGCGATCTGGGGCTGTGAGCCGACTTAACCATATTCGCAGCGACGGATCGACTGTGAATTCTGTTGCGTGACTGCGACACGGCTGAATTCTGATCTCCTGCTGCCCGGAGCAAATCTCTGATCTGCATCAGGCCTCTGCCAGCCTCCGACTGAGAGGGATGAATGGATTTTGCTATACGGGTTGCAGCTGCTAAATTCTGAATCGGGATTCGATATACCTGAGTCGGCGGGAAGAGTTGACGTCGATTGGAGTTGGGTACTCGTTGCCGCGCGCGCTCATCGAGTGCTCGCTGAAGGTTCTCCAGACGAGCGCGTTCAGCCAAGTTGGCCAAACGTGCCTCCTCCAAGGCGTGAGCCTCAGGGGTTTCTCCCGCGATGGGAGTATGCAGGGCATCCATGTTCCTGCGGCGAAGCTCTTCCCTTTGCAGGGAATTGAGTGGCTCGGGTTGGTACTCTTCGTGGACTTGTGCGGGGTCGCCTCCACCGTCTACCCCGTCCTCGCGGGGGAAACCGGGAGGGCTGCGAGGTCCGTTGACCATCAAGACTTCCGCCGCTGGATCACTGCTGTCGCACTCGGATGCAGTCTCTAGGGAGCCAGTCGACAGATCGAACAGGCCGTAGAGGGACTCGTCGGAGTCGATTGCCGCAACTTGGGTGGTGGCCGTCTGGCGAGCCACCGCGTGCCGCACCCACCGCTGGAGCCTCGACCGACCAGAGCGCTTGCGCTGGCGGGAGACAGGGAGGGTGGACGATAGGGGAGTCGACCGATATGGAGTCGACGGTTGCCGCAGCAGAACGCCGCGGACACATGCGTGAAAATGCGTCGCACCGCGGACGGGGAGCGCATCAACGTCGAGTGGAGCTTCCTGGAGCCAAGCGGAGTCGTCGGCGATGAAGGTGAGAGCGCCGAGACGGATCTCACGGCCCTCGACCAAAACTCCACCAGCAACCATGATGAAAGTAATCGGAAAACTGCAACTTCTCCAAAAATCGCTAAGACACCGGCCCCACGGTGGACGCCAACTGTCGTGGTTCTAAGTTTGACAGTAGAGTGGGGGTAGGTATGGAGAGGCAAGGTCCTAGCTATGGAGCAGTTGTAAACACCAAGGATGTACGAGTTCAGGCCCTTCTCGGAGGAAGTAACAACCCTACGTCTCGGAGCCCGGAGGCGGTCGAGTGGATTATATGTGTCTGGATTACAGGGGTGCGAACCCTTGACACTGAGGAGGGGGGTGGTTTATATAGTGTATGCCAGACCCCTCCGGCCCTCAGTAATGCAGGGTTTAAAGTAAATTAAGTCTAGGCATTACTGGTAACGCCTTACATAAAGTGTCCTAAATGCCATAAAGACTACTTAATTACAGACTGTTACGCTGCAGAGTGGTTCTTGATCCTCTGGTGGTCGAGTGAGTCTTCGTGGTCGAGTCCTTCGAGTCCGTCGAGTGAAGTCTCTCTTGGTCGACTGGAAGGTAGTTTCTTCTGAGGGTGTCCTTGGGTAGGGTACTTTGATCAGGTCTATGACCCTATCCTAGGTACATGACTTCTTCAGGTGGTGCTCCATCTGTGCGCCTCTGATCTGCGGGAGCACGACGGCCTTCCATAGAAGGAAGTTTCCCCTTGATAGCTTCTCCTGCGGTGGCGGTCCGAGAGGAACAGAGCTGCTGCTGGATGATGATGCGAAGGTGGAGGACGTGGTGCTGGAAAGCGCGCTCATGGTGGACGATAGGGCTGCGGAGGAAGACATGATCTCGGCCGCGGGGAAGGTAGCTAGATGCGATCTTCGATCTAAGAGGAAGATGCTCTGATTACCATGTTGAATTCATGCTCCAGCCAACTCATCCAAAAGTCCAAACTGATGAAGGGAGGCGGGCAACATATTTCAACAGACTCTAGCTGAGAAAGCAAGAAGAAATGTCTGAGCTGGGATCTAAAATGGAGCATGTCAAGAATTAGTGAAAGAAAGCATCGGGTGGATGAGTGTACGTACTCCAGGTCCATTCTTTCTCCTTCATCTTCGCTATCATCGTGGTCATACTCATCATCATCCTCATCATCGGTATCTTAATTTGGAGATCGAGAGGTAAAAATGAGCAATAAGAGATTGATTAGTGCCCAGATATTATCAGGAAGCATGTGCATGAATATAGGCGCAGGAGTGCGGAGAAGAGTAAAAAAACAACACTAGCCAGATTCACTCATTGGTTAGTATCATGTGTTGTTTTGGTAGTTTGTACCTTCTGGTTTCTCTGGATACATATAAATGTCAATGCTTGGATGTCTAGGTTGGGCGTTCATTGCATTTTTCACTGCGGCATATGCTTTGGCAGCTTCCATATTGGTGACCCCATCCCAATGGATTTCAACTAATGCACTCTGAAGTGAAAGCAGGTTACCCAGGCCGATCTCAAACAGATCGTTGTTACCATCTTCTATGGCCACGCGCACGCCCAGGTTGAATCGGACGAGTTCGGCATTTAGCAAAGCTCCTTGTCGGAAGACTAACTGCGTGGCTGGCTCACAATGCATTCCAAAGGCTATCACACAACAGAACTCATCTGAACCGATGACAAGCAGCCTTTCTGTTTGGTGTGCTCCATACTAAGAGATGTATAAGAGCTGGCAACCTCTCAAGGATTTGCACATCCTCCTGCCTAACTTCCTTGACTATGATGTCGAACTTAGATAGGTTTGATAGCTGTGCGGGGCCACTTCTCATTATCCACACTGGCAATGAAGAGCATGTGATGTGGTCTGAGCTGAACGCAAATTTGCGGAGACATCGAGGGGGTTCCCAGTGTCCCCCCCAAGAGATCCAAGTATTGTACATCGTCACATGTAATACTTAGACTTTGGATATCATGCAGTTTGAATATAGTCTCCACAAAAGTTTCCTCTACCTCGAGGCTCCAAGCAAGGAAGTGAATGTCGAGCTCCCTCAGCCTTGCTAGGTTGCCAAGCTCTTGCGCAGTGCTCGGGGAGGCATAAATGGTCTCCAATACTTCCAATGAAGTCAGGTTACCCAACACACCAGGGGGCCAATAGCAGCGAAATAAAACCTTTATGGACATTAGCTGTCTTAGCTTCCACATGGATGACGGCAACACTCTCATCTCAAAATTGCAGTCTAAATCTAGGTAAAGTTTCTCTGGAGCTCGAGCTACATGGTACCTGTTATCATATCCGTCTGTTTCGCATTGAGATCTGTGCGACTAAGGCATCATGTGCCCACATTCTGACATTGTCAGCATAATTAGCAGGGTCTCTCTCCTGCATGCAGAACAAACCGCGCACTCTCTCCCCTGACACCTCTCCTGACATTTGCATGCAGCACAAACGCATTCTTTCTGTACACTGACATTTGCATGCAAGATTCTCTCTCTCTCTCTCCTATTTCTTTACTCCATGAGCACTGACGCACTGCAGCACAAACACACAATCTCTTCTGACATTTGCATGCAAGACATACTCTCTCTCCTGACATTTGTATGCAAGACACACTTTTTCTTTATCTTTTCATGTAGCATGACACTCTTGCAGTGAGCAACCGAGCAAGCACCGAGTCAACTCAGCCAGAGGCACCTAACACGTGCTACAGGAACTTGTCCTGCCAGAGATACCGACAAGACTTGTGCCAGGCCAAGTTTAGAGTATTAAGCGTTGATCGTTTTGACAGCGTTGCAGATTTTCAAACTCCTGCACAAATCTCGATGCAACATAGTCCATTCTGAACGGCCCTGATATAGGGTACCACGTAGCTCAGCCTACAGAAAACCGTGCTCCTAAATCTAACACTTGTAGAAACTGTAGATTTCCTATTTCCTCCGGGATTTCAGAGATACCAGTTCTTTCTAGACCTAGGTACCTCAGGTGAAATAAGTACCCGATATCCCTCACCTTAGGCTGAGAGTTAAGTGCCCCAATACGGCATCGATGTAAGTCCAACACACGTAAAACACCAAAGCTAGATATAGCCGGCATGATAGTCATGGCTAGTGGAAAGACAGTGATGGACCTTACTTGTGATATACTCATTGAATTAGCAAGAAGTGTAGTTTCTTGATCTTCCTCAATATTTTGGAGGGACAATCTACGGATATTGTTCTGAGAACTAGTGATATCCTTATTACTTTCCAATATTTTCAAAAACTTTGATTCAGCTGACAAGGAACGAATCAGATCAAGCACCATGTCATGCACTCGACAACTTTGTACTTCACGAAAACCATTAAATATTGGTATACTCATGTATCTGTTTATGAGCTCGTTAAAATAAGTTTCCCCAACTTCAAAGATACTAGTCTGGTGCTTTCCATGCTGCACAAATTTTTCGCAAATCCACTTCCATATCAGATCTTCTTTGTCCATCTCATGATCTTCAGGATACATGCATAAATATAATAGGCAAGTCTTCAGATCAAAAGGCAGATCATAGTAGCTAAACGATGGTATCCTCTACATTTCCTCCATACTTGCATCTTCTGTAAGTCCACGCCCAATTGAGTCTAGCAGAACTTGCCATTCAACTTTTGGCTTGATCTGATGACCAACAATGAGAAGACTAGCTATAGTAAGGATAGCTAATGGTACACCGCCACATTTCTTCAAAATATCTCTAGATACTTCCTTAAGTTCACTAGGACATTTATTCTCACTTGAAAATATTCTTTTACAAAAGAGCCTTGTAGAGTCACTATCCGAGAGAGGTCCCATTTGATAAATAGAATCATGAGTTGAAGGACAACATGCTATGGATACACTTAATATGCGGGTTGTCGTGATTAGGCGACTGCCAAGATTGTTCATATTAGAGAAAGCCAACTTGATATCTTCCCATAGTTTTCCATCCCATATATCATCAATTACGACGAGATACCTGTACAAGTTGTGAGAGAACATTAATGAAATGTTGATGCACAGATCACAAGGGATAATAAAGTGCCATATAACACACACAAACTATGTACAAATAAGTACATATAAGGATGAAAACAAGGGGACACCAGATTCCAAACTCATCAATAATCTTGTTGACGATATATAGCATTATTATGAACTGAGAATCAGATGCTGTCAAAGCAAAAATAGGATTCAAAAAAGCATAAATTAGTAACAGATGGGTGGCATGTAGCAAACACACATGTAGTCACTGTTATGGAACTATAACTTGTATAATGACCTCAAATTACAATGCACTATATTTATCCAAAATGTCAAACCAAATAACCAAATGGTTATCAAATTCACAATCTGGTGGCTGCCAATAACGTATTCATAGTTAATCAGTACAGGGTAAATCTATAAGTAAGATTAGATTAGTCAAAACCACTAACATTTGAGCCAGTGTTCCAGGAAAATCTCAATTTCTTTATTTTTTTAAAAACACGGCCTAGAGCCAATAGAAAAGTTAATAATTAACAACCTCCATCAACAACAAAAAAAACTACAAATTGTACATCTACATGAATAATTGCAATATTATGCATGTCTTTATAGGAAACATATAAATTGTCAATTTGAAAAGATGCATCCGAGCATCGGAAAGTATTCTAAGCCATCTACTAGATAACCAATCATTATATAGCTGCTTCCATAGCATGCAAAAAAAAAACTTGTCACCAGGAACATTTGACCGTAACTGGGTGAGGGGCGCATACCTCTTGTCGTGAAGGAATTCCCGGATTTCTTCGATGAGTTGTCTTTCATCCAATACCATGAGATTCATATTAGTGTACATATTTTTGTCTAGACCAATAAGGATGTCCCTGAAAATCTTCTTCATGTCAGGATTCTGACCAACCGGAACAAAACCCCGTGAATCAAAACCACCTTTGATCTTGTCATATACTGCTCTGACTAGAGTGGTCTTGCCCAATCCCCCGAATCCAACGACGGAGACTACTTTTGGTCTCTTGTTGGAGGGATCTTTATCTCCCAAAGACAATAACTTGAGAAGCTCTTGATCCCTCTTCCCATAGATGCCGACAAGCTGTGTAGCTTCAGTGTATAGAGCGCGGAGACGAGGATCGATAGTCGTCCCAGCTGTAGGCTTAGGCACAATATTATCGACTGTGTACCTGCGAGGGGAAGATGTACCCACTGAAAAATATCACAAGTGTTATCGTTCTAAATAGAAGTACATGCCGATAGTGACGATGTCTATCCCCCTCTCCCTCCACGAACCGAAAGTCACTGTGGTCAATCGGCCACAAAAATCATAGGTAGGTCCGTGCAATCGGGTACGCACCTGCCGCGCCTGTTGGCCACCTCTTGGACATCTTTGTTGATTTCCTTGATGGCGCTAGCTGTCCGACGACGCTCCTTGCCCTTGTTAAACAAGTTGGCCATCTTCTCCACAAGGTCCGTGAGCTTGTTGCCATCGGCAGCAGGTTTATTAGGGCCCTCGACACGCACGATGAACTTGTCAATGATGTCTTCTATGTCGTAGGAGTGATCCCTGACCTCGTCAGCCTAGAGCTTGACTTGCTCGTCGAGCTGGTGGCGCGGCACCTCTGCCACCTTGCAGAGTGCAGCGTCCATGCTCTTCATCTCTTCGATGAGAGATTCGACGCCTTTCTTGGCGTTCTTCTGCAGGTTGTACTCCTCCATGAGCAGCTGCCCCAGCTTGGGGAGCAGGCTGCCCATGGCGCCGGTCACCACCTGCATCGCTAGCTAGCTAGCTACACTGACTGATCTCTGGATGTAAGAACAGCTTAGCATCGACGATGAGCTGTGGTTGAGGGTGGTCGTGACTCTCTCTCTCAATATCCCTGTATGTTGATTGCTTGTGCATAAAAACTAATCAAAGAGAGGTGCATTATTGATCCCACCACTTTGCCCAGTTGTTCTCAACGCGTCTGGTGCACTTTGGGGCGGCAAAAAGGTGCCGCCCTAGCTAATAAATTAATCTTCACAAGACGACCTCAAGTCGCACTTTAGATAATCTTGTATTGTTCAGTAGGTGCATGCATGCGAACAAAGGCATCAAGACTGTGTGCTTAGTTTTGAAAGCTTCACCTAATATAAGTTACATGTATATACTCCCTCCGTCCTAAAATAAATGTCTCAAACTTAGTGTAACTTTGTACTAGAGTAGTACAAAGTTGTGACACTTATTTTGGGACGGAGGGAGTACAACTGTATCAATTAGTGCCCGTCCCAAGGTCACATCATCTGAACCCAGCTAGCTACCATGGATCAGATCGAGTCATTGCCACGTACGAGTGACACTGCAATAAAATTGTTCTCCCAAGGTCAGATCTGACCTAGAAAGGAACAAGCTAATCTACTTTTAATTAGCACCAGACAGGGAGAGCAGTAGCTAGCACCAGCTTCCTAAGCTGTTAAACGTTTTCACGAGGCTCCTTACCTATGAGGGTTCACAATGATCCACATCATCTGGATTAAATTGGGCGGTCAGATGTTAATTTAGCGGCGATGATCAACTGGCACTTGTAGAAAAACACCTATTAGTCCCGGTTCGTAAGGGCCTTTAGTCCTGGTTCATGAACCGGGACTAATGGATCGTTACTAATGCGTCCACCCATTAGTCCCGGTTCAAAGATGAACCGGGACAGATGTGCCTCCACGTGGCCGGTCCGCCGAGCCCAGTCAGGGGGGCCTTTGGTCCCGGTTGGTGGCACCAACCGGGACTAAAAGTCCATGTTTTTTTTAGAAAAGTGGCTGCTTTAGGGGTTTTGTGGGTTATTTTTAGGTTGTTATTAGCTAGCTAATAGAGAGAAGTGTCCTCTCTTATATCTTCGTCCTTGGTTTATCAACGCTGCTGCTATATATGTTCATTTCACCCGTTGATATAACATGCTCATGCATGCTCGCATCATACATCATATATATATATATATGATAACAAGTCCTACTAATATGCATCATCATACAACTTCTACTTGTTATTAATAATAAGTCATACGATCATCATCCTCATAGTCATCGAACCCAACCCTACACAATTGTTCTTAGCACATGATCATCAGTATCAGGTAGGACCTAAACACGTAAAATAGCATAAAACAATATAGCCCCTGACTCTCCATTATGAAGAATGGAGATCATCCTGTCTCCAATTCTTGCCCTTCGCTGCTTTTTGCTTCCAAGAAGCTCCTTACGACTGTCCATACATTTTTTCATTCTTTGATTGTAATGTCTCCACTTCTTTTAGAAACCCGGTATGGACAGTTGAGATTCGTAGGACGACCTGGTTGTATGTTCAAAACATGAAGGCTACCATGCTTATACATTAGATAAGGCACACAATCATTTGGGATTATCTGTTGAAAAACATAGAAATAATTTCATAGTTAGCAATGATGTACTAGTTTTAGAAGTGTGCAAAAAGATGCACGGATGTTGTAATAGTAAAAAATAATCTTACCAGGGTATCTCCATGGTAGTTACCGTAGTTCAACACGTGCACTAGTGGCACGTATTGACCATAATGTTGAGGAGTTTGATTGTAGATATTGTAATTCTCAAGATCAGTACAAAATGCGACCAGATGATTTTTCTCCTAATAAGTTAATTCGGAGCCTTCGGTGTAGTAGGTTCTGTCTACCATCTTCCGCACATTCTTTGAAGAATGAAAATAAGCTGTCAATGGAGATAAGTTGTCAACTATATATTTTGAAATAAACAATATAAATTACTTAATAACTATGATAAGCTCACATGGGGGAAGAATTGGAGGCGTATCCACAAGGACCCAAATCGAAGGTCTCTCTTGCTCGATTGTGAGATCACCAAGATCCATGGTGACAAGCATACCCTCATCAAGACCATACATCTTGCAAAGTGCTTCCCAATTTTTGCAACCAAAATGGGTTACACTCTGAGCATTGTACACCTTCCCAATTTTTTTGGTTTCAAAACTTTCATGGTCTTCAAAACTCATCCTCTCCAAGACATAGCGTTTTGCAAACCATGGGATAAGCTAGTCGAATTGGAAAAGATGAAAAATACACGTTAAAATAGTCGAAGTCGTGCTTAATTATGAAAAAAACTATTGTCGTCGTTGCGTACCGTATGAACATCGCAGGTCTCCTCGAGCTTAATGCTGAAGCGCCGGTCTTCGTCCAGCTCAATGAACCTATCGCAGATACCTCGGTCGTCGTGGCACCAGTCGCACTCCCCCGGGCGGTTTTCGTCGTCCGATGAGTACGACATTTTCGGCCTATGTTCATAATTCAAATATTAAACTAGATCATTATTATTAATCACGGGTTGACTATCGATGATCGATGTACGTAGCTCCTCCTTTCATTCCCGAATGCATTATATACCAAATTGTCTAGCACACGGGAATGAAGGAGAACTTATCCAATATGAGCATTCAATAAGCAAGACCAAATCATAAAATAAGCAAAACCAAATCATAAAATAAAGTATAGTATTCAAATTAGCATGCATTCAATAATTATAAGCAAAAGTACATCATCTCTTGGTGTCCGTGCATCGTCGAATATTATTACTAATACAACTAGAACCGTAGCGCCCGACGGGTATCGACGCGGGCGGTGGACACCCAAAGATAAGGAACCATCACAGGATCATAGCTCCAGTGAGATACCTGAAGAACCTGCCAGGTATTGTCGAACCTGCCCTCCAATGCAACCATGTAGCGATGGACGTGCTCGTCCTCCTCGCTGACACGGTGACTTACCACCTCTGCAGTGTCCGGAAGCCTCACCACCATCACTGGCCCACGCGACCGCCACCAAACAAGGATCGGGTCAACAACGGGCTGCCTCCTCACCAACCTACGTCCCCCGGAAGGTAGCACCTCCCAATACCAGCCCGGCGGAGCCCAGTCCCGAACATGGCCCTGATCAAGCAGGCCTCCACCGCCGAGTCGACGACGACGAGGATGCGGGATAGGCATCGCCGACGTCGATGCGGGAACTACTTCTATATATAGTTAAATAAAGTAGTTTTATTAATTAAATCAACTATCTAGTTCAACTACTAAGCACTTACAATAAATAAATAAGTAGTACTTACTAAAAACAAACTACTTCTATATATAGTAAAATAAATTAGTTTATTAAATCAACTAGCTAGTTCAACTATATATAAACTACTTCTTATTTTTTTCCTTTTTCTAAGTACTATGAACAAAAAAATCATTAAAATTCTATGAACAAAATTAATTACACAATCTAAATATCACCAAAAAAATCTATTAACAATAATATCACCAAACATGCATATTCAATAATAATATCACCAAAAAATCTATTAACAGAAAAAAAATCTAACATAATATGAACAAATTAATTACTACACATCTAATCTAACAAAAAAAATATAACATAATATGAACAAATTAATTACTACACATCTAATCTAACAAAAAAATCTGATCTAACAAAAAAATCTATGAACTACATATCTAAATTACTACACATCTAACCTAACAAAAAAATCTATGAACTACAAAAAAATCTAACAAAAATAAAAAAATGCTCACGGCCGGCGACGGCGAGGGCGACGGCGAGGTGCGGAGCGGGGCGGCGACGGCGTCGAGGCG